AGGAGGACGAGAGGAAAGAAGAGGAGGAAGGGAGGGAGGTGGGAAGGGCGGGGCCCGCTGACTCGTCCGACCCAGCTGAGTGGTTTCCCCCTCCTCCTCCTTCCTCCTCCTCCTACTTCTACCTCGCTCCCTCCCTTCCTCCCTCCCTCCTCCTCCTTTCCACCTCCCCCTCACCCTCCCCCTCCTCCTCCTCCTCCTCCTCCTCCTCCTCCTCCTCCTCCTCCTTTTCCACCTCCAATTCCCCCTCCCCCTCCCCCTCCTCCTCCTCCTCCTGCTCCTCTTCCTCCTCTTCTCCTCTTCTCCTCCTCCGGCTCCTCCCCCTCTTTTTTTGTCCCTTCATCCTCTTCTCCCTCCTGGGCAAACAGCAGAAGGGGGGAGGAGGGAGAAGGCGCAGCAGGGAGGGAGGAAACTGATACTCGGGGCGATCGTGGATGCGGGAGCAGGGGAAGGAGAAAGATTATCGGGGGAGGAGAGGAGGGTGAGGAGGGAAGAGGAGGAGGAGGGCTGACGAGCAGAATCAACAGGAGGAGGGGGACAAAAATACTGACCAAGGAGAGAGAAAGGAAAGGACGGAGGGATGGAGGGATGGAGGAAGGAATGCGGAAAACATTAGGGGGGCAGATGGACGAGCACTCGGACCACCACCCGGACTCAAACGCTTGAGCATTGGGCCCTGATATTGGAAACACTTCGGGACAGTGCCCATGGTCTCTGCCAGTGCCCCAACGAATCTGGCTACAAGTGAAGGAGGATCCGGAGCACGGGAAGGGTCGGGGGGGCACCAAGGTGGGGTGGGGGCAAAGAGGTGGGTTGGAAGAAACATCGCTCCGAACGGCCCCTGGAAGAAGGAAGCGCGTTAAACGGGAGCATCTAGCTTCTAGCTGGGCCCGTTCCCTGGCCCCACCTTGGGATAACCCCCCTCCCACGATGCCCCGAGAGGGTTTTACGTGAGCGCTTTGGGATCGCCCAGGGGCCCAGGAGTCACAGGCCAAACGAGCGGCACCACTCGAGAGAGTTCGTGGCGACCGCAGAAACGAAGTGCCCCCGTAGTCCTGTCCGATGGATGAAAGGGAGGAATGGGAGGAATGGGAGGAATGGGAGGAATGGGAGGGAGGGAGGGAGGGTGGGAGCACAGAGGGAGAGGCAGATGGGAACGGGAGTAGGTGGAGAAGAGGGAGGGAGGGAGGAAAGTGGAGGAGGGAGGGAGGAGGGGGGGGGGGGATGGAGGCGTGATCGGCAGGAGGGAGGAGAGGAGGAGGGGGGAGAGGGGGGGAGGAGGGGAGGGGGGAGGAGGGGGAGGGAGGCACGACAAGGGAGTTTTGCTGCTGCTGACTCTCGCGTCGGCGGGAAAGCCAAGCCGCGGAAAAACCCGACCCCCTGGCCTCGCCATGGGGCGCTCCTGGTGCCGACGCGGCTCCACGGCGCCCAGGCCCCGGAGGGAAGCGCAGGGACGGAGGAGGGGGGCTGCTGGCTTCTGCCCGAGCTGAACAAAGGTGACCTGAAGTCCTCGGCCCTTTTTTTTGAGATCCACGTCAACACCTCCACATCCTCGGGTGAGAACCGAGGTCCAGAGCCAGCAGCGGAGGGGGATGCTGGCCTGAAGTCCTCGGCCCATGGGGGGGATGGGGGAGGAAGAAGGAGAGGAGGAAGACCGGAGGGCAGAACATCCACCTCCATCATGATCACCCCGACCAAGCGAAGCCGTTCAGGACACGCGCCCAGGGAAGGGATCGAACGGAGCGGAGCTGTTCAGTAAACGCCCAGGGCCTTTAGTAAACGCCAATTGTCTGGTCCGGGTGGTTTTGCCTCCCTTGAAAGAAGGATGGGGTGCCTCTCTGACTCGCAAGGTCTGCCTACTTAGCCTTGGCGGATCATCCAGTGCTGACCCGATGCCCGCGCCCGACCTTCAACGACCGCCCCCACAGCTGCCAGCGCCCCATCCCAAAATCGGGGAGGTCCCCTCGACGCCAACCTGCAAATTCTGATTTTCTTGCACCAGCACGCGCTGAACCGTGGCAAGATAAGCGAGGATATGCACAATGGCCTGTGCCACTGGCAGTAGGTGCCAACCGCTGCTCTGGACTCGGAGTGAAGCAAGGGCAGTCATCGACAGGCGCGTTCCACTACTCGCACAGGTACTACTCGCAAATGGCCAGGATCCGCCGCGGGGGATGTTTGATACCGTTGAATCGAGGCGAACGTTTTTTTTTTTTTTTTTTTTTTTTTTTTTTTTTTTTTTTTTTTTTTTTTTTTTTTTTTTTTTTTTTTTTTTTTTTTTTTTTTTTTTTTTCAGACGTTTGCGAGTAGGCCCTTTGCGAGTAGTGGAACGCGCTCAGTGAAATCAGGAGGGGCCAGGACTCACACCTCCTGGCGCGCTGGATTGCCTCTCTTGTCTCTGCCCTGCCCATACAGGAGGGGCCCGGCATCACTCAACAACTTTGAGCCCTCCACCCCCAAGTCATAACATCCCCACCGCCTTCCGAATGACAGCTGCGCCTACCTGGCACCACGCGCGCTCATGGGGAAGGCGAGGGAAGTACCCAAGGACATGCGAGAGGAGTCCTGGATGGAAGCTCGGGCTCCCGCTGGAACTTGCTAGCTTCGCTCCAGGGAGACCGCTTCTATCGGTCGTCAGCATGCTCGGGGGTCTCTGACACAGGCTTTCGCTTGCGCCCCCCTCCCGCCTTCGCAGTTCTCGGCGGCGAGCCCGGGGAATAAGTCCGAAGGGGCGGGCCTTCTCAGGAGGCTCGGAAATCCCCCAGCCTCCTCTGAAAAGTGTTCTAAACCTTCACTGACGACGCCGAACACATTCAGAAGGGGCGTGGGCTTCTGAGACGTCCCGCCACCTCCTGAGAAGGCCCTCTCTTTCTCACGTGCCCCCCCATCGCTCGCCGCCGAAATTCCCTTCCACCCCCCGCTCCCTGGCTGCTCGCACCGCCCCCCCCCCACCCACCTACACCCTGCGAAATGCTTAAGAAATCATGGGTTAAGAAATTCATAGTCTCAGAAATTGAATAAAACCCAGAACTTCTATCAAAATCTTGGGATTTACATTGAAAAGTTAAGAAGAATCAAGACTCTGGCCGAAAGCTTAAGTTTTCTTGAGCATCGCCTGAGGTGTACAGCCAGAGGCATCCGTGCGTCCCCGGGCACGCCGTGAAGGGGGATGACGAGGAGGAGTATCAACAGAGCAAGGGGGGGCCTGTGGCCGGGCCTTCAATTCGTCGTCGTCGTCGTCGTCGTCGTCGTCGTCGTCGTTCTTTCAGGGTCGGCGGTGCTGGCCGTAAGTCCTTCACAAATAGAGGAAAAATAACTATGCACATACACCGACTCTGGCCAGGCCCATCCTCAGCCCAGGATCGGTGCATACGCCCTCCTACCTTGGCCAGGAAGGCATATGCACCGATCCTGGGTCAAGGATGGGCCTTGCCAGGAGCGGTGCATGTGCATAGCTCTCCTCGCCCGAACAAAAGAACAAGGGGGGGAGGGGGGGGAATAAACAGCTCGATCGGGCAGTGCTCAAGTTCGGGCGCCTGCCTGCTGCTGCTGCTGCTGCTGCTGCTGCTGCCGTCTGCTGCGGGGGGCCCCGCTCACGAAGTGGAGGGTGGCCTGCTTGGTCGGCTTCCTGCATTCCGCCATCATCTGCTGGATGTCTCGCCGGCCGTTGACCTCGACGATGCGGTCGCCAAGTGACGGGAGTCGGTCAAGTCCGCCTGCGTGCCCCGTTCGACGTGACCGGTGGGGGAAATGTCATTAACGATATTTGGAGGCTGACTGTTCACTGCCATGTCGTTCTACTGCACCCTGTAACGGCGTAGACTGGCCTCTCGGCGGTGTCGCCTCACCGCCGGCTGCCATAGCTTCCCGCTTGCTCACCTCTCCATGCACGATTTTCTTGACCTCGCGGGCAAGGTCGTCCATGTTGGCGCGATCTCGATGCCGAAAGGCGTCCATCCCTGCTGCAAGGACCGCACGGCTTTGATCACGCTTGTAGCTGCCACGCGCCCACGCGATGGATTCGGAACCGATGGGACACATCGGCCATGGCCGTCGCGGTCAAGAATCCTGCGAAACTCTTCCCCCCAATGCTGGGCATCACCATGAAGACAGCGTGCACGGCGATCACCTCCATACCGCGCCTGATGGTGATGGTAGGTCCGCGGTGCTGTTGCCTGGCCTCCCTCCATTCTGTTCCCGGGAATTGCCGTTCTGCCACGCGCGCGTGCTTAATGCTATAACGCGACGCTACCGGTGGAATCTAGAGAAGATGGGCGCTTCTGGAATGCCTTCTCCTGGGGGTGAACCGTACTTGAGCCATAATGGCGGGAGCCAAAATGGCTAAGAGGGCGAGGGTGGGGGGAGATGGGAACGAGGAGGTGGAGGAGGACGGATGGAGGATGGAGGGGAAACGGGGGGAGGAGTGAGCGGCAGGAAGGGGGGAGGGAGGGAGGGAGAGAGAAGGGCGGGAGGAGGAAAGAGGGGACACTGAGGAGGGAAAGGGAGAGAGGGAGGAGGCGGGGAGGGAAGGGAGAAGAAGGGACGCTGAAGGGGAGGGAGAGGCGGATGAGAGGGGAGGGTGGGGGGGGGGAGAGAGGAGGAGGATGAGGATGGAGATGAGAGAGGGATGAGGATGGGATGAGGATGAGGAGGAGGAGGAGGAGGAGGAGGAGGAGGAGGAGGAGGAGGAGGGGGAGGCGGGAGGAGGAGGAGGAGGGAGAGAGGAGGAGAGGAGGAGGAGGAGGAGGGGAGGAGGAGGAGGAGGAGGAGGAGGAGGAGGAGGAGGAGGAAGAAAGGAGGAGGGGGAGGAAAAGGAGGGAGGGAGGAGGAAGGGGGGGAGGATGGAATGGAGGGAGGAGTAAGCGGCAGGAGGGATGAGCAGGTTGAGGGGGAGGGAGGGAGGCAGGGAGGATTGAGGGAAGGAGGAGGGAGGGGGAGAGGCAGGATTAAAGGGGGGAGCAGGGAGGGCTGGGGCGACGAGCGACCGCCACTAGGTCGGGCGCCGACGGCCCGTGCCCGGCGCCCGCATCCAGGGCGACGAGGGCCATGGCGCGGGGAGGGGGGGCGCCCGAGGCAGAGGACAGACGGAGGGAGGGATGGAGGCAGGGAGGGGGCAGAGGAGAGATGGGGGGAGGGAGGGAAGGAAAGGGGATAGGGGGGGAGGGAGGGGGAACGGGAGAGAAGGGGGGGAGGGAGGGGGGGAGGGAAGGAAGGAGAAAGGGGGGGGAGGGAAGTGAAGGGGAGAGGGGGAGGGGGATTGCACGATCGTCTAAATAGGAGTGCGCATCGGGACCCCATCCTGCCCGGCTGGCGGGCCTGAGTTGGTAAAGCGCAGGGTCGGGTCCCGAGGCGTGGTGCCTCAGAGCGATGGCGTCCTAGTCGTCATGCCCTGCGTTGCCACGGGGCACTTCTCATGCTCCCTCTACTGCGTCCCTGCTCGGCACCGGCGACGCAGTCGCCGCGTGCCTCTTCTCTGCTTGCTTCTTCCAAGGCTCCCGGGACACAGTCCCGAGAGGCTCGGGGCCGTGTTCTGGCACAGCAAATATGAACGTTATGTCGAGCAGCTGTATAACACCCGAGGCTACCCCCACGGGCGGGGGAACTGACCGTTTGAGTTTCACGAGCTGCCTGGACACACTCCGAACATGCCCGGGATGGGTCGCAAAACGGTCGTTGCAGATATCGGTGATGTTGTTCTTACTGTGGTACTGGTGACCCACGTTTTCGGTCATTGGTCCTGGCGGATGGGGTGGTACAGCCCTGACGGACCCTAGAGTCACGTCTCCTGCCGTAGTGAGCGGGGGGAGGCGCACGAGGGCGGAGGTGTTGACGGCGGTGTGCACGCTCCCGGTCGCGGGTCCTGGCGGATGGGTTGGTGCAGCCCCGACGGACCCTAGAGTAACGACTCCTGCCAGAGCGAAGGGGAAGAAGTGCACGAAGGCGTGGATGCTGAAGGCGGTTGACCGACGTCGAAGACGGCGGAGGGTGGAAACCATCGCGGTCGACGCGAAACGAGACATAGCAACCGTGGTGGCAACACGGGTGGACCTGCTCCGCTACCAACTGGAGATGAGGATGAAGATGTGAGGATGGTTTCCGTAAGCGGATTGAGGCGGAATGTACAGTAATAACAATGGAACAAAGTCTAAGGCGGGCACGGTGCACGGATCAGGCCTTGAGCCAACACGGTACAGCGGGCCAGCAAAGGTAAAAAGCAGGGCACTGGACATGGAGCTACCGTTCGAGTAGGAGGAGGAGGAGGATAAGGAGGAGGAAGAGGAGGAGGAGGAGGAGGAGGAGGAGGAGGAAGGGAAGGAGGAGGAGGAGGAGGGGAAGGAGGAGGAGGAGGAGGAGGAGGAGGAGGAGGAGGAGCACGGCGCCGCCCTCGCCAATTGGCCCCTTGAGCCACCGCATCAGGCCAAAAAGACAATCGCGAGGGACCCCTTCCCACTCGTTGCTTCCCCAGTGGGAGAATGAGGTCTTCCCGGCGGACATGGAGCAACCTTGTTCGTTCAAACAGCGACGGCGTCATCCGAGCCACTTTGCGGCTGCGTGGCGGGGATGTGGCCCAGAATGTATCATGATATAACCGATTGCGCGTATTGGTCGAGGCTGTGAGCCGAAACAGCTGATATGGACCACGTGCGCGGCAAAACCGGTGGTTCCCTGGCGCAGGCGATGCTACGGAGAATGCGATGCCGCAGCCGCGCGTGCACGCAACGTTCAGGAATTATACCGCAAACATGTCGCAAGTTTGCGCAAACCTGCTCGGGTCGTGGGGGGTTTTCCTTGGCTTTTCTCGTGGCCTCTTGGCCCATCGTTGGAGACATGGAAATGGACACCAGCACCAACACAGGGAGTTGCTTCCTCTGGGGGATCTGATCCTGAGCTTCGGTGTCGGTGGTGATGCTTCGGCCACCTAGGAAACCCAAGCATCACCACCATCGCCGAGATCGGGAGCATCCTCCCTGGGTGGACGCACGCCGCTGATATCAGTGCCGGTGCCAACCTCCAGGCCTCCGCCATCTGCGCCCCCTGCCCAGTCCTCAAGGCCCCCCCCCCTCGCTGCCTCCCCGCCTCCGCGCCCCGAGGGGGCGAGGCCGTGGGCACACGCAGGCGCGCGGCTCCCGAGCCCTGTCCGTGCAGCTCCCCTGCGCTCACCGCCCTCTGCCGTCCCTCGGACGTCCATTTCCCATGCAAGTTTGTCGGTTCCGTGTGTCTGTTTGCCTTTGTCCTGCTCGCCGGTCCAGGATGCCGCTCCTCGCCGGTCCCCGACGAGGACACGTGCACTCGGCCGAGCGATGCCGAGCGCCTCGCCTCTTGCAATATCTCACTCCCGCACCGTACCTTCCCCATCCCTCCCTTGCCTTGCCCTCGCGCCGCCCTTGCCCGCCCCGCCCGCCACGTGAGCTATGCCTCCCCGCACCTCCATTTCCCCCTCTGCCACCACAGCCTCCCCCCTCCTCTGCTCTCTTCCCTGACGACGCCTTTCCTTTCCCCCACTCGCAGGCTTTTCCAGGGCTGGCTTTCGACCAGCGTGCTTTCGGCCAAAAGAGTCTTCGGCCTTTCAGAGATGATGTCCCTGCTGCGGCGTGGCCCACATTTCAAGAGCGGCGCTTTGGCCCCCTTTTTTCCAAAATCGCGTTCTCGCCCCAGCGGGGAGCACATTTCTGGAGAGATGTTGAAGTATCAAATGGCAGGGTTCAGTGGGTCTTGGTATGACATCGCGAATGGTGTAGGACATACGCTGTACTTCCAATTGGTGGCGGCAAGCATGTGGTGCCCACCATTGGGCTGTGAAAGGACCATGGTGCCCTTCGATGCCCACCCCGTCCCTGGCCATCGCTCGGACGTCCATTCCCTGTGCTTTTTGCTTCGTGCGTGTTTTTTTTTACAGGATGATCCAGGATGCTCCTTAATTCTCCCCGCCGAGGAAAAAACGCACACGTCCGAGCGATGCCCGTCCACAGGGACTTCGCAACCCCCACCCCGCCCCGTTCACAGGGACTCCCTCGCCGCTGCCGCCCACCTCCTGTTCCCCCCTGTGCTGCCGTCCCGTGGCCCTCCTGCTCCTCCAGCTCATGCTGCTCATGCACTTGCTGCTGCTGCTGCTCCTCCTCCGCTCCTCCTCCTCCTCCTCCTCCTCCTCCTCCTCCTCCTCCTCCTCCTCCTCCTCCTCCTCCTCCCCCTCCCTCCTTCCTCCCTGCTGCTCCTCCTCCGCTCCTCATCCTCGTCCTCCTGCTCGTCCACCACCCCCTCCTCCTCGACCAGCATCCCGGTTCCCTTCGGGATCTCTCCTCCTTGCCGGGCCCGCGGACGTCATTTCTATGACCCTGACACTTGACTTTTGCAGCAATTCCAAGGGTGGGTCACACATTATGTTCAAGATGTGGCTCTCGGCTTCGGGCCGCGCACGCTCGTCTTTCAAAGCTTCGAACAAGTTCGAAGGCGGATGGGGTCGTTTGCGACATGTAGTTCTCGCCGTCGGGCCGCGCACGCTCGTCTGAAACTGTTGCAACCGATTCATGGATGGGAAGGGGGGTCGTTTTCAAATTGTGGCTATCGCCTGAGCGCCGTGCGAATTCGTCCTAAAATTTTCAACAGCTTCATCGTGATCATGCAGCGGGCCCCGAGGGCGCCTGGGCTCCAGCTCGGGGCCGAGCGGCTCCGCTGGCAGGCCGTCGCCAGACGGTGCCCCGAGCGGAGATCTTCGCCTCCGTGCTGGCGCTCGAGGAGACGTTCTTTTTCGGTCGCGGCCGCAAGCGAAGAGGCAGGCTGCGGGCAGGGAGTCCGGGCAAACGGGCAAGCCCAACCGAGGAGACTTTCGGGCAACGTGCGGCTCGCCACGGGCCACGAGCCCTTCTTCCGCGCGTGGCGCGGGAGGCCGGAGGGCGCTGACCGGGCGGGGCTCGTGATCGGGGACCCGTGGCAGAGGGCGCGGGCCGCCTTCGCGGCGCGAGGTCCTGGTGCGAGGTCCTGTGGAGTGGGTGGCGTCGCACACGGAGGAGCACGGCCACCTGCTCACCTCCGAGCGCGCCCTCTTCCCGGCGCTGGGCGATGCCGCGGCGGACTTGCTGGCAGGCGCCGCCGCGGAGGGTGGCCGGCGCGCGGGGCTCGCCGGCACCGCGGCGCGCGCCGACGAGAGCGACGCGATCGCGTCGCTGGTGCGCCGCGGGGCGAGGAAGGCGCCGGAGCTGGCGAGCGCAGCGGACGGGGAGCAGGGCAAGCGGGCGGCGGGCCCTCGGCGTCCCGCCCGCACTCCCGCCCGCCTCGGTGTACAGCGGTCCGGCCATGAGCTGCGACGTTGCGGTGCGCGTTGGACGTGCGTGCGCTGCCACCGCATGGTGCGCTCGCACTGCTGTGGCACGGAGCGCCGAGGGCCGGTTCCGACGAGGAGTCCTGCGCAGGCACTGGGTGGAGGTCGTATTGCGCCGTGTCCTGCCGCCGAAGGCGGGGTAGCTGAGCAGCTCGACGGATCTCACCAGCTCGCGTTCTGGCCTGAATTCGTAATGATGTTTTGCCAGCGGTGTGGACGTTACACCACAGGCAGCGATCCCAGGCACATGGTTCACGTGTGCCCGGGACGGCCGACCAGGAAGGGCGCGGAAAACCCCTCCCGCATTCGGCGAGGTCTCTTCCCCTGTCGTGAGTGGGCGCCGAAGGCGATCCTTCGTGTGCGAGAATTGCGATTGAGCGAGGCCGTCAGTCGCCTCCCGATATTTTCAGCCTAGCGGCGATGTAGTTGATGTGGGACGGTCAGCGGGGAGAGTAGTATTCATCCCAGCCCCCAGGAGGGTGACGCACCTATAGGGCGGGGCGGGGCCCCCGGCCATGTCGCATTCGGGGCGTCAGCTCCGAGTGCGGGGTTGTTGCGCTTGCCTTGGGGGCGTCTCCCGATTGGGCCTCTGGGCAAACACAGCAGTCCAAAGCAATCCTCCTTCTCCTCCTCCTCCTCCTCCTCCTCCTCCTCCTCATCTTCCCCCTCCTCCTCCTCCTCCGCCTCCTCCTTCTCCTCCTCCTCCTCCGCCTCCTCCTCCTCCTCCTTCTCTCTCTCTCTATTTCCTCCTATCTCTCAATATCCTCCTCTCTCTCTTCCTCTCCTCCTCTCTCTTTCTCTCCTCCTCTGTCTCTCTGCTTCTATCTATATTTCTCTCTCTTTCTTTCTTTCTCTCTCTCTCTCTCTCTCCTCCTGCTCCTCCTCCCCCTCCTCCTCCACATCCTCCTCCCCTCCTCCTCCTCCTCCTCCTCCTCCTCCTCCGTCCTCCTCCTCCTCCTCCACCTCCTCCTCCTCCCTCCTCTCTCTCCTCCTCACTCCTCCTTCTCCCTTTCTTCCTCTCTCTCTTCTTTTTCCTTTCTTCCTTTTTTCCCCTCTCTTCTCTCTCCTTCTCCTCCTCCTCCTCCCCTCCTCCTCCCTCTCCGCCTCTTCCTCCGCCTCCGCCACCTCCTCCTCCGCCTCCACCTCCGCCTCCTCCTCCTCCTCTTCCTCCTCCTCCGCCTCCTCCTCCGCCTCCACCTCCTCCGCCTCCATTCCTTCTCCTTATAAGTAATCTCTCCCTGTCGCACCCCGACGCCAGTGTTTAGGGCGGGCTGGGCGTTTCGCCTGAGACTTCCTCACCACTTATGACCCTGAACCTGAATATTTGGCAACAGTTTCACGGATGGAGGGCGGGTGGTTTTCGAACTGTGGTTCTTGCGTTAGCGCCGCGCACATTCCTTTTCGGAATTTGCAAGAGCTTCACGGATTGAAGGCGGGTGGTTTTCAAACTGTGGCTCTCGTCTTAGCGCGGCACACGTTCGTTAAAACCAATCGCAAGAGTATCACGGATTGAGGGCGGGTGGTTTTCAACATGTGGTCCTCGCCTCGGCGTGGCGCTCATACGTTGCACATATTTGCAAGCGTTTCACGGATTGAGGGCGGGTGGTTTTCAAAATGTGACTCTCGACTTAGCGCCGCGCACTTTCTTGTTAAACAAATGCAAGAGTTTCACGGTTTGAGGGCGGGTGGTTTTCAAACTGTGGCTCTTGCGTGGCGCTGCGCACATTCTTTCCAACATTTGCAATCGTTTTACGGATTGAGGGCGGATCGTTTTCAAAATGTGGCTCTCGCCTTAGCGCGGCACACATTCGTTTTCAATATTTGCAAGAGCTTCACGGATTGAGGGCGGGTGGTTTTCAAAATGAGGCTCTCGCCATAGCGCGGCGCACATTCGGTGTAAACAGTTGCAAGCATTTCACGGATTGAGGGCGGTTCCTTTTTTAAAATGTGGCTCTCGCCTCAGCGCCGTGCACATTCTTGTTAAACGTTGAACTTTTCACGGATCTCCATGGACGACGTACCAGAAATGGTGTTTTGGAAGGGTTCACGATTATGAGGGCGCATCAATTATGATGATTCGCGGAGTTGAGGTCCCAAGAATGGCGTTCTGGCACGATTCAGGATCGTCAAGACGCAATCGTCCAGTTAATCCGTGGCGTTGGAATGCCGAGAACAATGTTTTGGCATGCTTCAGGATCTTCAAACGATTGTCTTCCAACGAGGCAGGTCCATCTGTGGAAATGAACTGTTCTAGGGGCCTATGAAGAGGGAGCTTGGGGGAAGGGTTTATTCCAACATCGTCGGTGACTCTTTGATTTATACTGGTCCTCCTCCTCCTCCTCCTTCTCCTCCTCCTCCACCTCCTCCTCCTCCTCCTCCTCCTCCTCTCTCCTCTCTCCTGTCTCAACTCTCCTCTCTCCTCCTCCTCCACCTTCTCCTCCTCCTCCTCTTCTTCCTCTCCTCTCTCTCTCTCTCCTCCTTCTCTGTCTCTCTCCCTCTCCTCCCCCTCCTCCTCTTCCTCCTACTCCACAATTATACAATATGATGCTACTCTCCTCTCTCCCTCTCCCCCTCCTTCTCCACAATTATACAATATGATGCTACTCTCCTCTCTCCCCGAATGACGTCTGGGAGATATCCGGCCCCCCTCTGCTTACTGATTTCTATACACAGGATGCCCAGGAAGTGGATTTTCGCTTGGGTTTTTCTCGAAATGTTGCTCCCGCTGAAGCGCTGGCCCCATTTCTGCGCCGGTGGTTGTTCCAAATCGTGCTCCCGCTGCAGCGCGGGCGTTTTCGGTGCTTCCAAATAGGCTCCCAAATCTAGGAAATGGGCCTTCGAAAAAACCATCGGAAATGATTACACATTCGGTGCCAGTTCGTTGATTTTTTGGGCCGCAAAAGCCCCCCCCACTTTTGGGCGTCGTCGTTTTCAGGAAGTATCAAACGGCAGCCCCGTTTCTGCTTTGAGAAGGCGATGTTGAAAGCAAAGCCAGCGGGTGCTCTCCATCAGCCACGCCGTGTGTGGAGCTTTGAGGGGAGCCCAAGGAGCTAGATATGGAGCCACGACTGCAGACCGGCCCAGTCCTCTCGAAGACGATCCACTTTCCCTCCAAGGAACCTGGCGCCATGCCATGACGTCCTGTGCGGTGTTGTGTTCTGCGCCGTTTGCGATACTATGCTTTGCGTTGCAATGCTTTGTGATGCAATGCTTCACTGCGCAATGCCACGCCATGCTATGGCATGCTACTTTCTGCCATGCTCGTTCCGACTCGTGCTCCCGCTGCAGCGCTGGCGTCATTTCCCGTGCCATGCCACGGCATGCAGTGCAATGCTAGGTTGATACTACGCTTTGCGGTGCTCTTTTACGCCATGCCATGCCGTGCTCTACCATGCATCGCGTACCCTCTCGCGAACATTGGCCTGCTCGACATCCGACTGTGCGAATAGAGAGGACATCTACGCCATGGTAAGGGATGGGAGGGAGTGGTATGACGTCAGATATGACGCGAGCGCACCTAGCTTGTCCTCCTCCTCCTTCTCCTCCTCCTCCTCTCTCTCCTCCTCCTCCTTCTCCTCCTCCTCCTCCTCCTCCTCTTCTCCCTCTCTCTCTCCTCCTCCTCTCTCTCTCTCCCTCGCCTCCTCCTCCTCCTGCTCCTCATCTTCCTCCTCCTCCTCCTGAATCAAAGCTGTTGCACCCAAGCAACCTCGAGACCGACGACGTGGACTCGCGACGAAAATGCGAAGGGGGGGGGTTCAAGAAACTGACGATCATACTCTGGAGCCCCCCAGGGGAGAGTTGCAACAAAAATGACGACGACAAGTCAAATGATATTCTACAGGGTTAAAAAGCGACGACGTCACGCCAGATCGCGGAAATTTCCACGACGAAGATATGACAACGAAGAGGGGGGGTGGGAATGCTGACGACGGCGCGGCCTCCTGACCCGACAGTCCCCTCTGCCGATACGTGAATCAACGACAGCGCGACCAGAAAACCCCCAAGTCGCTCCCTAGTGGAGTTGCGCTCGTGATGTTTCGACGATATGCAACTTGGTACCATATCAGAATTGGCGAATTCAAGGTGGCGAAGCCAGTTCAGTCGGCTGCTAATTCAGTGACGCCACTACACGAATTCAACTAATTCAGTTCAGCAGTGGTCGATACAACCAAGTGGTGGTCAGATCGGCCAATTCAGTTCAAGTCAAGTTAGTCCAAATCAAAATCAGTTGTGGTCCATTCAACTTCCAAGTGGTGGCCACTCCACTCTGAGCAGCGCATAGAACAAGCATGTGCAGCAGCACCATAGAGGCAGTATGGGTTGTCTCCCCGACCTCCCCTCCCTCCTGGCCAACGAATCTCAAGCAGTCGCCGCCTCTATGACAAATCCAGACCATGTTTCAAAGCCTCCGCCGTCACGACAAACCCAAACTATATATATATATACATAAATTTATATCTATCTATCTATCTATCTATATATCTATCTATCGATCTATCTATCTATCTATCTCTCTCTCTATATATATATATATATCTATCTATATATCTATCTATATATATATATATATTGCAGTAGTCGGCAATACGACGAAGACTTGTCTTGAGACAGACGCGGCGCTGCTGAAAGAGAAAGAGAGACAGACATACAGACAGAGAGAGATGTATCTTTTTGGAAGAGAAGCGGCCGCGACGTCCACGCTGCAGATTGAGAACCCAAACGATGGTTGTTCTGAACTGAAGATACGTTTCAGATTTACACGCTGTCCCCTGGAGAATTCCAGGAGGCTGCTCGAACAACAAATCAGGGAAAGAACGCTTCCGGGAGCGTGCCGAGCACGGCCCCGCTGCCTCTCTGGCGTGCCCGAGACACCTCTGCCCGTCCCGCTCCGCGCTCCGGGCAGACAGAGCAGGGAGGGGCCGCGGAGGGAGTGGGAGGGTGGGGCGAGGAGGAGGGGAGGGAGGGGAGGCGTCAGGGGGAATGGCCACTAACGACAGGAGATCACAAGACGCATGCGCGTAAACTCTCGGAGGTCGGCGTGGATTTCCTGCATCGGCGCTGGCCCCCCCCCCCCCCGGCGCGCGGAGCGCACCAGGGGCGGCGCCGGAGGCGCCGCCAGGGGGGCCCATCACCCATCCTAGAAATCTGTGGAGCTCCGACAAGTCCTGTATAAGGGGTTTGTTTGTTCTTCGAGGAGAGGGGAGGCGCAAGGGGAATGGCAATGCTGAGCTGCACCCTGCGATCCTTTCAAAAGACCATGCGTATTCACAGAGGGGGGATCTGCGGCCAAAAACGAGCTGCAGACAAAAGTGCGGGTGATCACCACAAACTGGCCACGGCTACAAACAAACAAATCTCACACATCAGGGATGGGAGACGCGGTGGTCCTTCAACCCCTGGCAGAGTGCGTAAAGGACCCGAGGGCGACGCAGGGATGCATCGAAAGAGAACGCGCTCGCACCCATCAGCCTCCGACCGTCAGCTCTCGAGTGCCGCGCTCTCACAGCATGCCCGGCGGCCAGTGGGCCAGCAAGTCCACGCGGGCATCTGAGGAAGGAAACAGTTCACAGTCAAGGTCGCTTGACTGAGAATTCCACGTGGCCGTATCATAGCTTCTGATGTCTTTCAGCGGGTGGTTCGTCTCTCAGTCGCATGATGGCCGCGAACCGAACCGAGAACCGGGTCTGGAACCGAACCGCCGAACCGAACCAGCTGGCCGAACCGAACTGGCCGAACCGAACCAACCCGCTGTGCGAACTAAGACGGCCGCACCGAACCAGCCGACCCGGACTGGCCGAACCGAGCCGGCCCGCTGTGCGAACCGAACCAGCCGCACCGAACCGACAGAACCGAACAAGCCGAAGCGAACCCATTGCTTGCCCACCTTGAACACCTCGGCCGACTTCCACGAGGTCGGCCATGTCTTCCGACAGGCGGATTCGTGAAGAAGAATCAAAGATAGTCAACCAGCAATTAGAAGTAGCCAAAGATAGTCGAAAAATAGTCCCCAGACCATGTTTGACTATTTTTGAACATTCGGGTCGGGCGAAAGGGGGGGATAGCAAAGGGGGGGTTTGAGAATCAGCTCACGTAGCTGATTTTCCCGGCGCCTCCCGGCGCCGGAGGCGACTATGTATCGAGGAACGGGCCCCTCGGTGAGGCCGAAATCAGCTGCATGCAGCAAATTTCGTAACCCCCCCTTTCCCAATCCCCCCCTTTCGCCCGGCTCGAAACATTCCTCCTGTAGAGGGACATGCCCGAGAGGGGGGGGGGCGAGCCATGAGGGGGGGGGGCGAGCCTGGCGGACCGCAGGAGGGCGGGCCCCTCTGGCCGTCCCCCCGCGAGGGCCCCCCCCCCCGGCTCCTCTCCTTCCTCCTCCTCCTCCTCCTCCTCTCTCCTCCTCCTCCTCCTCCTCCTCCTCCTCCTCCTCCTCCTCCTCCTCCTCCTCGCTTCCTCCTCCTCCTCCTCCTCCTCCTCTCCTCCTCCTCCTCTCCTCTCCTCTCCTCCTCCTCGCTCCTCCTCCTCCTCCTCTCCTCCTCCTCCTCCTCCTCCTCCTCCAGCCACGTCGGCTGTGCCGGGAGCGGGGCCGTGGCTGCGCCGCGCGCGGCCGAGCCACGGCCGCCCCGGCCTGGAGCCCTCGTGGGCCTCCACCCCCGCCTCCCCTGCCCCGCCGGGAGGCCGGGCTAGGGGGCCACATGCGAATCCTCCACCTACCCCCCACGATTTCTGAGGGGGAGGGTGGGGTTCACTTCGTTCGGGAGCTCCCGAGCGAAGTGAACCCCACCTCCCCCAGAAATCGTGGGGGGTAGGGGTAGGGTTCGCATGTGGCCCCCATACAGGCGGGATCCTCATGCTGGTTCTCAGCGTGCGATGAGGATCATCTACGGGAGCCCGCTCAGCCTCTCGGACAGCGACCGAGTCTTGGAGATGGCTCACGAGTACGTCAGGGCCGACATCATCGTGCTCGTCGGGGCCCAGCGGTGCACGCATCAGGCGCACGTGGTGGAGGACCTGCCGCATTTCGGGGCTATCCACTTCGGCTGACAGCGCGGCAGCGCCTTGAGCAACAAAGCCTGCGGCATCACGCTCCTCCTGAACAAGGCCACCGTCAGGACGAAGCAGGTCATCAAAATATGGACGCCACCTCAACCCATCCGTGGGCGAGCAGCCGCAGTAAGACTGAAGAGCAGGACCTACGACATCACCCTGATCGGCCGCTGCCCACATAGCCGTGACGGACGCGAGCAAGCCAAGATCGAGACCGCCACGAACATGCTGGAGGACTTCACGGGCAGCCTGCTCGCCTCACTACCACGACGTACTACACCGATCATCGGAACTGACCTCAACGATGGCGTCGGCATTATGATCACAGTCCAAGGCACCATGACGACGGACTCCACCAGTGTGGGACCACACGGACGCCAGGAGGAGCACAACGCAGGAGCCCGCTTGAGAGCGCCCGCCGAGAACAATGACATGGTCTTCGCCAGCACGTACTTCCCGATGGGGCCGAGCTACTACGGGGCTGGCAAGAAGGGCCGACAACACGTCTCCTGGATCGACCACATCCTCGTACCGAACACCCTCCTCTCGCGGATCACCTAGGGCTCCCAACTTCGCGCTTCGCGCTCCGCGAAGCGCGAAGCGCGAATAACTTCGCGCCCTCGCGCCGCCCCCCCAAAGGGAGAAAAGGAGGACGAGGAGGAGGGGGAGAAGGAACGAGGACCGCGAAGCGCGAATAACTTCGCGCCCTCGTGGGAGCCCTTGATCACGAAGTTCGGCCAGACCTACCGCTCGACCCGCAAGCTGCAGGCGATCCCAGCCTCCGCCCCGCGCGACCACGTGGCCTTCCTCATGGAACTGGACCTGGACCTTGACTACGCGGCACCGACAGCCACGACACGCTGGGACTGCGTGAAGATCGCGGACGCGCTGAAGAGCGAGACCGCCGCGACGCCCTCTAGGGAGAAGGTGGAGCAGTCCATCGCCAACCACATGCAATCAGCGGGTTACAACGACATCCAAGACATGATGCAGGCGTACGGCTCCCTCGAGGGCGCATGGAAGGACCTGGTTGACATTCTTCAGAAGGAAAATGCCGACATGTTCAAAGCCACGGAAAGGGCACTACCAGCCGAGTACCAGCGCCTTGCCGCCGAACGTGTTCAAGCCCTACGTGATCGCAGCGCCGCACGTAAAGCATCGTGGAGAACGACATGGATACCGTCTTACGCCTGCACCGCCTCACGTCCAAGTGCAAGCGGCTCCGGAAGCAACTCAAGCAACGAGATCAACAGCTAGCCGACGAGCTGGACGAAGCCCACCACCGAGGCCAAATGCAGGAAGAATGGCGACTGTGCAGATTGATAGCTGGAGGAGGTATAGGACCCAGACGACGCAACTTCCGCACCATCGCCGACTGCACGCCGACCGCCGAGCAGTGGACTACCGACATGGCGAAGCCGGCTAAGGATGGCGGCATGAGCGCGCGCACCATTTTGGCGGGATGCAAATGGGGGGATAAGTCCTGATGGGGAAAGAGGCGCAACCGAGGCACAAATTGTACCTACGCCCCACGGAGAAGGTACAATTTGTACCGACGCCACGCAGACAAGGTACAAATTGTACTTCTGACAACGTCCGCGACATGTGCGAGGATGTTAAGGGGGGGGAGAAGGTACAATTTGTACTTGCAACCCGCAGAGAAAGTACAAATTATACCCCAACAAAACGGTACCGGATACTCATCCCCCCATGTCCTGATCCCCCCATCGCCATCTGGCCGACCATTGACCTTGACGACTTCATCAGCATGGCAAGCGCCCACGACAACAACGCGCCGCCCAGCTACTAGGACTTGGAGGAGGGCGCCGAGGACTACCAGCGGATCTACAACGCGCTGCGCAGGACCAAGAGGAGACGAGCCCCAGTAGCGTGGTCAGTACCAACAGAGATCTGGTCTTTACTACTCTCAACGCGCCCAGCCACCACCGAACGCACGACGGGGCTGGGAGCAGGCGAGCCACTACAGGATCTTCCACATCTGCGGCATTGGCTCGTGGGAGTACTGGCACGGGTTCGCCAACACCAACGACTAGTCGCCTACTGGAACATCTCCCAAACCTACCAGGTGAGCAAGCAGAACGGGCGGGACGGCACCAAGGCCATGAAGCTCTTGTACGGCCTCTGCTCCTTTGGCAAAATCTGGATACGCACCGCTCAACGCCGTGAACGAGAAGTCCCTGGCCGCGACTACGGCTACCTGCCGTCGCGATCCCGCACGGGCGCCGTTCGCACCACGGCATGCCTAGGCTGGCGGATGCGAAGACATCGCATCTCGACGGTGGACACGAAACACGACATGCAGAACGCCTTCGCCTCGGTTCGCCACCCGCAGCTCGACGGCGCAATTCGACGGCTATATCGAGAATGCGACGCTGAGCTCCTTCTACAGCGCCACTGGTGCGCATGCTTCAAGATCGAGGCCGAGGGCGAGACCATCGTGATGCAGAACAGCGAGGGCAACTACATGGGGGACTCCAACGCGGCGACTTGTTTCCAGGAGGCGTTCACGGTCCCGATCAAGCACTGGCAGCAGCTCCACCACGAGAAGTCTCCCAACGAGCTCTTAGCCTGCTACCCCTTCAGTGACGAGCTCGTGGACCTCTCGATCAGAGTCTTCGCCGACGACGTCAACTGGACCTACCGCGCCCTCGACCCCCTCCACGCCAGCGAGATCATCCAGTATTCGGATAGGCAGCTGGACACCGCACTGAAGACACTGGGCGTTGTGCAGGGCCAAGGGAAGAAGCAGGTCGTGCCGCACTACGTCGGCCCTGGCGCCAGCACTTACAACAAGTGCATTTTCTACGACATGATGGGCGGCGACATCCCAGGGCAGGTCTTGCAGGAGGCCCCCTTCTTGGGCACCATCTTCACGCACACCGGGCTCAACTGGGCGGAGGTCGAGGCAAGGTGCGCAGCCGCGCGCCGAGGATGGTACTACATGAAGAAGTTCTGGACGGAGTGCAAGCAGTGGAAAAGCAAGAAGATCGCCTTCAGGAGCATCGTCATGGGAGCTGCTACCTCGGGATTCACTGCGCTCGTCCCCACGGACGCGCAGACGGACAAACTCGACAGACAGTGCCTGAAGCTCGCACGAGTACTCTTGGGAGGTGTCGCTGTCCGCGTCCCGATTGACGATGGGAACGGAGGCACGCATGAAGTAATCCGCACGCTACCTGGGACGCAGATCTGGCTACGACTGTGGATGGTACCGAGAGCAGTGGAACTACGAGTACAGCGACTTAAAGAATGGCAAGCCGTGGCGAGGCGACCTGAATGGCACAAGCAGCAGTTGGCAGCAGTCTTCGGCGACCTGGAGATGGAGCTCCCACAGGAATCTGCCTTCACTTGGTTCCCGTCGACGGCGATGACACCGCCGAGCACAGCAACGTCCAACCCGTGGGCGCGCCAGTTCTACGAGGACATCGAGTACATGAAGAAGACCGAGGAGGGCGAGAAGGTGGTGGACCTACTGGAGGGCGCCTACATCCGCATTTTCGACCAGGAGTGCGACGCCAACGCGGCGTTCATCCTGCTGGGCGTCCGCCAGTTCCGCGGGGAGTGGCTCACGCGCA